TACTGCATGTCACTCAGTTGGTTACTTGATGCACAGCTGGCATCCTCTTGTCGCCAATTGAAATTAAACATGAAACGATTATTAAGAAGAAGAGAGCATGCATGTTTTTCTATTGATTATCAAAATTCGCTTAAAATAAAATTACATGAGCAAAGCGGAAAATACAATACATTTACAAGAAGTGGGCTAGAGGCCTACTATTAATAGAAACATGTGGCTTTTAATATTTGCTTCCTTGTATATATTTGTAATCACAAAATATTATACATTTAGTTCCATAGTTATAAGGTTTAGGCTGGCCCTTCCTTATATATTCGCATAGGCATTCATTAAGCAGCCTAGCATTAATGACTAGCTATAGAGCAACAATATGACTGAAATAAATAATATGAAGTGTGATGTTGCCTTATTGGCATCTTTTCATGTTATGCAGTTATTTCATCTATAATTTTGACTGTATCTTTGTCGAAAGTGATTTTATTATCATTTTTGTCAGAGTGACATTTTTGGGGGACACACTGTAGTATATTAAATCGCTAATGTTTAATACCACAAAATAAGAAATATAAATATAGATACAGTACGTTTGTAAGTATATTAATATGATTAGAATCAAGTATATACAGTATTAGTGTGGAAGTCATAATATTAGAGTGAAGTAAATATTAGAGTCAAATAGATATTACAGTAAATTTATATATGGTCTTATTATTAATAAATGGTTTAATTTAAGTTTGGTTCTGCTCAAAATGATGACAAATCAACTAAAATAAAAAGAAAAAAATTATATGTCTCCAGTTCAGAAAGTCACATTATAGTGCGATCTCTTGGGAGTACCTATACATCAGGTTTTTGCCTTCGGCGTGTCTGTTCTATAATCGTTCTAGAAGACATGCCATGATACTGAATCGGTCACTTTTTATTCGTTTGTAATTTTTGTAAGATTTGCGTTTATTTGGGGCGTATAATCCTGTTAGGTCGCAAGCACATATCAAATGGCGTTATAGTGAGAGAAAATTCTTAATTTCACTGTGATAATTGTGGTCATGGTGTAAATCATATACATATCTCAAATGACGTCTATGTTTGGTAACTTCGGTTCAGTTGACTATTAGCGCTAAGGATAAGCTTGAGAAATCGTGATTTCCGACAACACGAGTTAAATTTAATTCGGCGTCATGTCTTATTACACTGATCCGGCGGATCAGTGTAATAATTAGACATGACGCCGAATTAAATTTAATTTTTTACACTTAGCCTACATTCGTGCAGCAAACACCATGACGTGCTAAATGTTTTCCTTATTCAATATTGATTTCATATGCATATTTCCATTGACTGATCGGTATAGAGCGTTTTATCGTAAGCCATTTGCTTTACAAATTATAAACATGACTTCAATGAGAAACTTGCGTGCGTATATGAAACTACAGGTTTTCAGCATAAAATCTACACACCAGGCTGTTCCGCTGTTGTTCATTGCTTGCAAAATGAAACGTTTGCGAGTTCGCGAGAAAATACTCAAACGTTAATAAATTTTCACATGATATAATTTCACTAAACAACGAAAAGTCATCATTACAATTACATATAGGCTATAGCTGACGAGAGCGTCAAGCGAATAAGTTATTGTGAGGAAGAAAAGCAATTACATTAAGATTAGTGTCAAGATAAGATGTGTTAACACAATTAGGCTAGAAGCGATAATAAGGTAAAAATCTATAAGTGTTTGCTGCCAAGAGGAAATTTTAAGTTAATAGGTTTTGCGGCGTAAAGATTCATTGAACTAAGCTGCGCGACAGCTTCAAAACAAAGTAGCTATATGGATGTAATAAGCGAGAGGATGCAGACAACTTAATTGCACAAGCTCTTACTGTAGGTATTTTGTTTCTAGGTAGATATATATAGGGGGCTGAATAAAAAATATGAATAAAGCGTTTCATAAATCAGCGAGTACTGCATGTTGTTATTGACAGAAACTTTCTCGTATAATAAACACGCATAATCAAAACTGTTAATAAGCTTAATTCGCTCTACTCGCTGATCTAACTATATTCAATATAAAATTACAACGTCGCGTCATCATAACTTTCATCTATTACGAACATAATTATCATATAACATCACATACAACATCAATATCGGCATGGGTTAGCCTGCATGTGCGGGAATATATATATATATAATACACTACACTCTACAGTTAAAATATTTAAGTTTCAGCAGCAACTGGATTTGGTGCATGATATAAAAATTTATTACATTCACTAACTTAATTCCCCTAGTGTATCGCATATAAAAACAGGTACACTGACTAATGCTTCTCCACAACTCACAGCTGCTGAATTATTTTAATCCCTCAAACCGTTTAACGGCTATCCGTTAAACGCACACTTTCCTCTATCCGTTAAAACGGATTCCTTCATCCGTTTAAACTGGTGGCTTCATCCGTTAAAACGGATGCCACTATCCGTGAAAACGGCTTCTTCCATCCGTTTAAACGGTAACCTTTAACCGTGAAAACGGTTTCTCGTTAAAAAATATCATGGCACCGTTTTAACGTTTTCGAAGACCGTGAAAACGGTTTATACAAACCGTTCACTATCCGTTTGCAATCCGTTTTTTTGGCCGTTTTAACGGAAAAACGTTAACGTATGTTTTCCCAAATATTATTAATGACAATCCCTATAGTAAGAAAAAATATATAAGGTTGATATATAACAACAGCAAATTATTGATTGATATTTGTGATGTTACTCTGAGTGGCATCCACACCGGGCAAGCTGAAAAGTTAGTTTGGCCACGGTGGGAATCGAACCTGCGGCCTTTGGGATACTAGTCCAATGCTCTGTCAACTGAGCTACATGGTCAAGTCTGTTCGAGTTGATGATATTTCGCAACTGAGTCTAGTTCCTTCGATATCAGTGTACAGGGGCATTCAATGAATACGATTATTTTGTGTGTGTTGGTGTCATGTACTCAGGTGAATATATGATGTTTGTGATGTTACTCTCACTGAGTGTGCATCCACACTGGGCAAGCTGAAAAGTTAGCTTGGCCACGGTCACAGGTTCGATTCCCACTGTGGCCAAGCTAACTTTTCAGCTTTCCCGGTGTGGATGCACACTCACAGTAACATCACAAACATCATATATTCACCTGAGTACATAACACCAACACACACAAATTAAAAATTATTGATTGACTGACAATACATTTGCTATTTTTGGTTGTTTGCATATACAAAGCAAGAAATACAAAATTCAAATGCTTTTACTCATTTAATGTAACCATGCAATTGAACTAACATCATCCAAATGAATACAACTTTTCTGGTAAAGGGTGTTTAAAATAGAGGTGCATAACTGATCCAAAATTCATTGTCCCAAAATCTTGCTAATGCCAAGCTAGGATTTTCCATATAAATTATATACAATCACCAACGATTTGGCACAGTAGTACCCCTGGGCCCTGGGTAAAAAGATCTCTGTGATTGTTTTTGTCAGTTTATACATATATTATTTAGAGTCGTATAAACAGGATGCGGTTACCCAATCATCCGAGCCGGAGGCTCGTGTAAAAAGTTCACGAGACTGTCTGCAAAAGTATGAGTGATTGATCACTTGTTGGTTCACTTTATTGGGAAATGTGCTTCTACTATATAACTCAGTCTGGGTGATTTGTTTTGGCAAGCCTGCCCATCTAAAGAGGCTCATGTAACCAGACATTCATTCAGGGAAAGCGAGCTATAGCCAGGTTACCTGGGTGGCTCGCCTCTATATAAGCAGCCCCTTACACATGTTTTAGGCTGACTGATAGCCGATAGGAGGGCTACCATAGCAAGCACATCCCATACACTGGGTAATATTAGATGGGCTATTGCAATGCTGTCAAATGTGACTGCATTTCAAACAGATCACTATATACATATTTAACACAAAATACAACATACATGTATATCACACAAATAAAGCCCCATTTACACGAGCAAATTTTATTTGACAAATTTCATATGTCAGAGATATTTTGCTCGTGTAGATGATAAATTTGTGACAAATTTATTGTGACAAATGCATTTGAACAACAAATGCTTTTGATGAAATGAAATTTGTCAAATAAAATTTGCTCGTGTAAACGGGGCTAACAACACATATAAGTAGAGACTGTAGATTAGACTTATGGACTTCTGCTAATAGAAATTAATCGAATATCAAAACTGAACGTCTAGATCGCCAAATCGGCGGCGAAGCGACTAAAATACAGGGCTTCGTCTTCGATTTAAAAATATAACTATACAGTATATCAAGTAACTTTCCGCACACAAATAAGTAAATACACAATAAACATACCTTTGAAAACAAATTCCATGTATCTTATTAGGTCTTTGGAACTTTATAAGTAGAAAATTTGAATAAATATCATTCCCTTTGAATGTTTGCTCCCGAAAGATTGAACTTGGCGCTTGGTCTTTGTGTGAACCAGATCAAATTACTACAACACGTGATATTTTAATTTTTCTGTGTTGGTGTTGTGTACTCAGGTGAATAATATGTTTGCGATGTTACTCTGAGTGCATATCCACACCGGGCGAGCTTTAAAAATATGTCCGGCCACGGTGGGATTCGAACCGACGACCTTTGGAATACTAGCCCAATGCTCTTCCAACTGAGCTACGCGGTCAGGACGGTTCGAGTAAGTGATATTTCGGAACAGTATCTAGTTCCTTCAAAACCAATGTGTTCTAGTAATATGAATTTTTCTGTCCTGACCGCGTAGCTCAGTTGGAAGAGCATTGGGCTAGCTAGTATTCCAAAGGTCGTAGGTTCGAATCCCACCGTGGCCGGGCATATTTTTCAAGCTTGCCCGGTGTGGATATGCACTCAGAGTAACATCGCAAACATATTATTCACCTGAGTACACAACACCAACACAGAAAAATTCATATTACTAGAACACATTGGTATTGAAGGAACTAGATAGTCACTTACTCGAACCGTCCTGACCGCGTAGCTCAGTTGGAAGAGCATTGGGCTAGTATTCCAAAGGTCGTAGGTTCGAATCCCACATTGGCCGGGCATATTTTTCAAGCTCGCCCGGTGTGGATATGCACTCAGAGTAACATCGCAAACATACGTGATATATTCTAAGCATGCTAATTGGTTAAAACTCTGGAACTTCCACTTGTCGCAAATTATATTCAGCAGAATTCAGCAGCAGAACATTCCACACGCTCAAATTACAGATTTTGGCCAGCAAATAAAAAATATAGATGACTCGCCGACAATTTCTGGCTACATTCGATCGCCGCGTGCGATTGAAGCCGATATACGGTATAATACATCAATGGCATCAATCTGACCTGGCAACATTCGAGTAACCAAAAACGTAAAATTAAAAAAAAGACTTTATATCACGAACTTCGTGCTTTTCGCATCTGACTGTATTCAATACTTTAATAGAGTATAGCCTCCAGCAGAAAAACTCTTGGATTCTCAGGCACATTAATTATATATTGTATAATAATTTACTCCAGATCCAAAACAATTTTACCCTTTTTTGGGAGTTGAAACGACCCCTGGAGTAAAATTAAGGAGTACAAATTACTCCATAATTTCTACTCCTAAACGCGAATTTAGTTCACTCTTCCAGCAGAGTAAAATTGACTCCTGATGGAGTAAATTGTGGAATGCACGCCGAAGTGGAGCAGTTTTAACTCTATTTTGGGAGTAGATTTTATTCCACAATTTTAACTCTCCCGTTTTGAGTAGTTTTAACTCCTATGGTGGAGTTAAAATAACTCCTTGAAATTAACAGTGCGTTGTTATATTTCAGTTGCCTCAACTATATGACTATTATTAACTAAATTACTATTAGAGTAAATCACGATTGGCAGTGCTCTTTAAAACTCTTTCTCGACAATACCCTATTATCGCAATGAACTCATTCAATGAACCGACGATATGAAATGTCAAAGTCGCATTGTATGAGTGCATTGCGCTATGGGGACAAAAATACCACCATTCGATTTAGTGTAACATTACAATATCTCCTCATTCGTAGCAATTGTTTTAGTCAATAGCAACATTATAGCGATTTATGAGCTTTAAAAGTAAAGCTAGATCGTATATGCTTCAAATTGATCAAATTACGCATTATTACCAACAAATTAGGCTATAAATATAGCTTTCGCCGAATATAACTTCGGCCCCTTGAGACGTATGCTCATTGTGATATTCTTGATGTATTAAGCATATAAAATACCATGTATTGTATAGTGTTAATTTCAAGTTTCTATCTTTAAAGTGTGACTTTTAGTGCTGAATGTTACATTTCTGGTCCGAATTTGCGATAATCCCAACCAGAAATACGACTTAAAATGTCAAAACAATGCGACGTTTGTGTAGTATGACTCTGCAAATGCCAGAAATGGATTCTACAGGTCAAAGTGCACTTATACGCGTGAGTTTGACGTCATCCCGGCTAAAGGAGCTCCTTATTGGTCAAGTATTACGCAATACACGCGCGTGCAAGTAAAAGCCGATACCTTGAAAAATTCAAAATAAATATTTCTACTCGCCGTATTCATACGAAACTTTCTACACGAAAGCGATTGAATACAAAGAGCATTTTACTCATATAGCCTTTTAGAAAATGACGAAAAGTTTAGAAGATATTCAACTTTTTCTCTTTTTCCCGTGTAATGTTTTGACGGCACTTCATTATTTTGTGAGGATTTCAATGGTGGGTTTTGTTTTAAAGGGGGGGAGGGATAAATGCTCGCCAAGATATTTACATTAGAAAAGTTGAATCGTAATGTAATGCGAAAACACTTGTCGAGAAGGAAATCTTTCTTCAAATCGTATAAGATGCTTGGTTTTATTGTCTGCCTATTCCTATATTATTATCTAAGCTATTGGTATATATAAACTTGTACTTTTCAGTTATGTACATATACAGCTATTTCAATTAAGGTTGTTCCCCGAGCAAAGCGGAAAAGTCGAATACGAGCGCGTATAAGGCTGCTGGTAATCCCTAATAAATGAATGAATTTATTAGCGATTCCCAGCAGCCTTTCGCGCTCGTATTCGACTTTTCCACTTTGCTCGGGGGACAACCTTAATTGAAATAATTGTGTAATAATTATTGCACACATTGCATGCACATTTAATAGGTCCACCACCTCATTGCATACTTATAAAAAGCCAACCATCTCATCAGCACACCCAATAAAGGGTTAATTGGCCTTTATTACACAACTAGAGGTGATCTTAAGTCGAAATGCGGCTCCTTATATACTTGGGGTATTACTTCATCGCGTAACATGCATGCAGTTATAATTAATGTACATTGCGTAATGACAAATTGATTAAATTTTGGCAAAATGTTGACGAGATGTACGTAGATGAGAAATTATTAAAAGTTTGTCTTACTTTGCCGCGCAGAATGAACTTACTCCTCAATTAGCCCATTTTATAATTCTTGCATGTTACATAACTTATTATTAGCATAACAAAATTACTGGATGCTGATTGGTTGAGAGGAGTACAATTTTTTCATTAATTGTACTGCAGTACAATTAATGATTTTCCCAAAACAAACAAAATGGCGGAAAGGAACACGAATGTGAAGTGAAATTGCCCTATTGGAACTATACGAAAATACGAACAAAAGCACCAAATTTTGGTTGAAAGTCTTGCAGGACTGGGTTTTGGAGAGAGAATATGATGTTGACATTGATAAGTATCTAATTTCTGCGGCTCGTCCAGTTTTGCCAAAATTTCCAAACATCACTCATACTTGCATATAATCCCTAATTGTACTCGCCATCGCATGATTACCTATACTTATTATTAGCATGACAAAATTACTGGATGCTGATTGGCGGTGAGGAGTACAATTATTTCATTAATTGTACTGCAGTACAATTAATGATTTTCCCAAAACAAAC